TGAAACGTAAATGAGTTTTGGGAAAACTATACCTTCCAAAACCCTCCAAAAATAAATCAAATACAAATAATATAATCAAATATTATAGGATATTGCTTGCAAACACACTGTAAAAAGAAAAGAAAAAGAAAATACTATTTCAGTCTTCAGTGTTACTTTTATTTTCTAATTATTTGTGAAATTTTCTATTAATTTCTGAGTGAAAATTGTTTCAAATTAAATCCTACAACAATCCTGCAGACTTTTTTCAGGGCGTAGATGTTTTCTTAGTTGTGCTATCTCAAATTTGTTTACATCCAAGTTCATCTCTTGCAGGTTACCTCTTTGCACTTGGACCTCTGCTTTTTGTCACCATTTTTGATGTGTGGCTGGAGAGGTTCACCACAAAGCAGTCGTACGTCATCAATCTGATGTCTATGGGTACTGTGGCCTTTGGATGTACAGGTATTTGTTCATACTTTTCTTTCCAAAGCCATCGTGACTGCAGAAGCATGTTGTGAGTGACTGTCCTTCTTTCAGGCTCACATTGTGTTGTCAACCATTTCCAGCCATAACAGTTTTTTACCCTATTGTGTCTCCAGTGCAGCAGTCCAGTTTCTATGGATACATGGGGATGCTTCCCAAGCGCTACACACAGGGCGTGATGACCGGAGAGAGTAAGAGGCTTTGTGTCATCAGATGTGGTCATGAAAATCCACGATGTTTGGGTAAAATGCAAACACACGATTCTCATTCTTTGTTGTTTTTTTCTTTATAGGCACGGCAGGAGTGATCATTTCACTCAGCCGTATCTTCACCAAACTACTGATCAAAAATGAGAGGAAGAACACCATCATCTTCTTCACCATTTCCATCTGTATGGTGCTACTGTGTTTTATCCTGCACATAGTGGTGCGAAAGACACGCTTTGTCCAGTACTACACGGGTCTGGTGCGACAGGGCCTGTCCCACGCCAAAGACCACTCACACAACGGAAGCCAGTACCAGGTCCACCATGATGTCATTACAGAAGAAGTAAGATTTGTAAGTTTTGCATGCCAAATGTGAGAAGGACATATCATGATGAACATATGTATGGCCTTTCTCCAATAGTAATTCTATCATTTTTCTGAAGAAACAAATGTCATTTTCACCGCATCTCAAAAAAAAAATGTTCAGCAGAAAAAAAACGAAGTATTTTATGAATTCTGTTGCATACAGTTAAATAACAAAAAAAAATTTCTCGCACAATTTCACAAAATTACAGCTTGATTGGCAATAATGCACAATATAAATATAATTATAAAAAATATTATTATGTTTATTATTATTACTATTAATTATATAATATACAAATAAAATATATATATAATACATAATTAATGTATATTTAAAAATACAAAATGCAATTATATAATATATAAATGTGAAAACATATAATACAAGAATAATAATATTTTATATAAATAGTAATACATTTCTATGAATTTTCATTTTAACCTCTTAATACTCGGCAAAACATTTTAGGAAAAAATGTGTATTTTTTTCATGTCATTGCATTGTTTTGAGCATAACATTTTTTTTTTTTTTAATTATGCTACGTCCTTGGTAGAGGACATCGGGACTCAATTTTAAAATTAAAATAAAAAGACATGAATGAACATGCATAGGCAAAAACAATAGCTTTTTTTAAATCCCCAATACATTTTTAGTTTTCAGGATTTTTTTTAATCAAACTTTGTATAAAGATAATTCTCAACTATGTTATAACAGAATGATTTGATATACCATTTTTCTTTATGCAAAATGTGTGTAAAATGGCCATAAACAGGTTTTCTCATTATATATAATGTATCTATAAACTAAATCTAATTTGCATATTAATGTGTTTTTGGGGCAACATGTAATGAAAAAAGAAGTGTAATAATGGGAGTAATAATTGACAATATTTTCATAATAATATTTCATAGGAATATTGAAATATAATTTCTTTACCTATTCATTTGTTGTGTCTTCCAAAATGCGTAATAAACATGCTTATAGTCCCAGTGTCCTCATATGAGGACATCTATGAAATCAACCTCCCTGTTTCGGAACATTTTGATTTGAAACCCCATAACATTTTCCTAAGATGTTGATTTATGACACGCAGTTAAAAAATTAGTCCGATTTAAATGATAATCACAAAATATTATCATATTTCCATAAGAGTGTCACTAAATTAATATCAGACATTTTTGAAGACCAAGGAGAGGGAGTGGTCATGGTGAAACATCCAAACATTTAGTATCTCTGAAAAGCCCTGAATGTGCTCTGTACAGGACATCCAGACTTAAAACTGTGGCATGTATAGTCTCAGAGAAATTCATTCAAATATATCATGTCCTCATATGAGGGTGCAGGATCTCAGGTGGTTAAGCATGCTCTTCCATGACACTGTCTCCTTGTACTCTAATTATTCTAACATTGAAAGTCTGGACCAAGGGTAAAACAATGAAATCTATACCTGAAAAATATTCAAAATAGAAATTCAACATAAGCTTCCTAGAAGATGAGCAGTACTTAACAAGAGTTATACCCAGTCATATGTCTAGGGTATCTAGAATAATAAATGTGCTCTAGCTGTCTCATACTTTTGCATTATGTTGCCCAGCCCTACATGTGTAGTCAGTTTTTGCAGGCAAAGGTCCTCAAGAACCCTGTGCAAATTAAACAACCTTTCTCTCCCTGCTACATGGTTTAGAAATCCATTTGGAATTAAATAAATCAGTAGCATTATCATGCTCTGTTGGAAATGTGTGATGAAATTCAGTGGAATGTAGAATCGTAAAGCTCTCTTTAATTTAGCTGGACTGTGAAAAGACTATTTTAGTTATGCATACTCAGCTGTGTTTTCTTTCAATTCTTCCATAACTCCATTTCATTTGTGCCGGTCAGTGCTCTCGATGACTGTGCTCTCAGCGGCCCGGAGAAGGACACAAGGAGAGCATGATTTAAGTGCTCATTCAGACGCAGGCAGTTTGAGTGGAGTAATATATGAAAGCACTTCAGATAAACCTCATGTTTTTGCTGCGGGTGATAGACTAAGCACTCAGCTATTCCTTCATCTTCATCCAGAAATTCATAGGTTATCATAGTCATAGGAAAGCTATCATGGATTTTTTCCTTTGCTGTTGGGGAAACGAGATTAACCACTATACAAGTTTATCCAACTTCTGGGAAGCCCCAAAACGTGAAAAGTGTCCATTAGGGGTATTTAGAATTGGTATACAGCTTCAATGTATGATGAAAAAAAATCCATCAGCATCCAGTACAATTTC